GGCGAACATGAGAAAGGGTGGTTAGGTTAGGTTTGATTAAGTTAGGTAAGGCAAAGTTAGTCTAGGCAACGTTAGGTTAGGCTAGAATTGGTTAGGTTAGGTTAAGTTAGGTTAGGTTGGGTTGGGTTAGGTAAGGTTAGGTAGGGTAAAATTAAGTTAGGTCAGGTTTGGTTAGTATATTTCAGGCTGTGTTTACTTCGGTTAGGTTAGGTTGGGTTTTTTGGCTAGGTAAAACTAATGTATGATTGTTTTAAGCACTAATGATACACACAGGAAAAGGCCACAACTGGGGGATTGCTGTGCGCAGTAGGAAATGCGTGGAAAGAAGAAGAAGAGAGAAAAAGAAAAAATAAATAAAAAAGTATAGCGGCTGATCTGGTTTGATAATCTTGGATATTGATTTAATAATTCATATATACGTTTTGTTTCTGCTTCTAGATATTCTACGAATTTTTCCGATGCATCTTCGCCATTACATAACTCCAACTTTGAGTACCTATCATCCTCGCATTTAGTATAGCAACAGAAACTATTAGGCTCATGCTTTTGAATATTCAGAGTATAATTCGACTTGGGGTCTGGTTGACATGAATCAATACCCACCAAAGTCGATTCAAAATCAGCGTAAATCACAATTGGATGCTTGATAGTCTTTTGAAAGGCTTTGTATTTTAGTTTCTCATCACAAAAAACATATTTGACGGGTGTGTGAACAGAGCAATCATCTCTATGTTTTTCAAGTAGGTCCTCGCGTATGAATGCATGCAGGCAGTATGGACAGACATATTTTGTTTTATGACTCGCCTTATTAATAAATAGACTTAAAGACTTTATCAAGATATAATGACATCCATTCTCATTTGTGAATACCAATAATGAAACCACATCATTATTTTTGGTTTTTGTTATTCGAAGTGGGCATAGCTCCAAACAATAATTCAAGCCATATGCATTTATAGATATATTATTATTATTTTCAAATTTATCGATGTGGTTAATTTTTATAGGGAAATTGATGTCTACGAAATCCAACTCTTCAGCTTTCTTCTTTAATATTTTCGTTATTCTGTTACAATTTTTTCATCTTTGCAGAAATGGTGCGTGACCGTTCACTTAAAGCACATGTTATCTTGGTTTTTAATGCTTATTAACATATATTTTGGATTTCTCAGTTTTTCAGGTAAATCAATTAAGCTATAACCTCTTAAAGTTTATATTCAACGATTTTTATTGTGAAGTTTAACAACTTAACATCCAGAAGAGTTATTCGTAAATTCATCGATTCTATGTATCAGATTATCTTCAAGTCCTTTAATTGTATTTAAATTTATTTGAATCCTTCTAAGTTATATAAACCTGTATGAATTTACCGAAGCGGTATTATAGGTTTTCTCGCTGCCTAATTTGAATTTATAAAACTCTACTTACAAATTCAGCTGGAATTTAATAGTATCGAATTTTGACTGCCTAATTACTTGGATAACTTCAGATATTATATTCTTGAGAAATAACTTCGGATCGATCGTTCTTATATCGTGATAAATATGTTCTGCGCATTCATCATGAACAGCCTTCTTAATATCACCTCGCATGCATTCAAATTTATTTTTAAAATAAACATTTGAGCCTTCATGTACTCCAATAGCATCCACTTCTAAATTTCAAAGATTACAATGAAAGAAAGAATTGCTAATATGCTATCATTTAAATGTTTTCTATACTCATTTGTTTGCTTTTTAAGTTTTGAACTTCGCTATTGCAAATTACACATTCTATCTTTGAATTAAAGTATTCATTTGATATGATCGAATTTTTAATTGCTTTCCGATGCCTCTGAGTTTCAATATGTTTCTTTAAGTTTTAAACTACTGTGTTATAAACTTTACAATGGTTCTCGCTGACAATACTTGCATTCATTTTACTTAAAAAATTAATCCAAAGGGTTTTAGTATTCAATGTGTGTTTTTTTCACATGACTTACATTCGATGATTTATCAACTCCCATTTTCCTTAAAAAAATTATCCAAAGGGTTTTGGTACTTAAGGTGTGATTTTCGCATGACTTGCATTAGATGATTTATCAACTCTCATTTTATATAGAAAAAATAAAAACACATTGAACAATTTCTGTTATTGTAATACATTTATTTGCTCATATGATATTATGATTGAATTATTATAATGATTCAGTGAAGTAATTCAAGCTCCGACTTTGCGGAAGTTAACTGCGCTTTCAGACTATTATGCATTCAACTTTCTATGGAAAGTATCTTTCATTCTAGGCGCGGTGTGCGCATAGTAGTCGTCAATTGGCGACTACTATGCGCTGGCAGCGTAGTCGTCAATTGGCACACGCCATACCCTCGATTTCCATGAGTTGCTCGCGGTGCGCGCCTCGGTAATCACCGCCCCACAGCGCCTCCCACGTATACGACCCGTGGATCTTCCTATGTCACCGCCCACCGACGTACGACCTGCAAAAACCTCATGATATTTGTGGGATCGAACCCTGGCGTAGCGACTACCAAGACGCGTCGCTAGCCACTCTGCCATCGAGAACGCTAGATGTAAAATTTTACTTATGAATTCCCGAAATTCGTTGGTTTATGAATTTTTGATATTACTCACGATCTCTTGAAAGTAAACGCTCCATACGAAGACTTCCTTTAATGGAATGAATTTTTTCATCTTGAAAGAGATGGCTTTTAAAGTTACTTAATTTTATTTAGACAGATCTAATTCAATCTGTTTTCTGATGATGTCTTTGAGTGAATTAGACGGTGATGCTAATTTTTGTTTCAAACATGTATTTCATATCTTGTCTTTGAGTGAATTAGTAGGCGATGCTAATTTTTGTTTCAAACATGTATTTCATATCCATTGTGTTAAAAGATTTTTCCCACTTGCATGAAACTCATTTAACTGAGTGGGCGTGATCGAGCTAGTAAGATCACCTAAACATGACTGTCACTTTGTTTTCGGGATAAATGAAGCATGGTAATGAATCAGTGAGTTTACTGAAATGAATTTCCACAGTCGATGCTGCTGCATTCGTCATCAAGAATGCAACAGCAGGTGAAGTGGCGGTGCAGCAGTCAGCAATGCATTGCTGATTGGATTGGAGGTCCCGTTAGTGGTTGTCATTGACGTGCTCCTCACCTCACTTGCTTACATAACACTGTTGACGGTCTCACTCCCATTGTTCGGCTAAATCAGGATGATTTTTGAAGATGTTAGTTATCTGCTTTTGCTTCCTGAATAGTTGATGCAAAGATATTGATACGTCCATGAGTTTCCGATATTTGTAGCCTAGCTTTCCTAGCCATCGGAGGCGATTGCCGTGTGAGATACTTATATCAAACTGCTCGGATAAAATAGTTTTTAGGGATGTTTTGGTCCTTCCACATATTTGTTCATTCAGATGTTTTTCACAGAATCGATCCAAAAAATGCCCAAACACAATTTTAGATCTCAAGAAACTATTTTTTCTGATTTTACTGTACTCTGCTTTGGATAAAAATTTGAGTAGTTCACCATAATCATTACACATACTATCAGGTTGATCAGGAGGTGGTATTTTATTCTCAATCTTGTTCTTCATTAACCATGCGTTCGTTTCTTCCGGCGTTTCTATACCCCTTCTCTTCACTCTTTTCCCTACCTTGAAAGGATTTTTCGTGTACGGTTTAAGCGGTTTGGCAATTGCAATTGCATTTTTGATGATCCAATCTCGAATTTCTTCATATTTTTCTTTATTCGATAGAGCTTCATCAATCAAACACTCAATGAGCTTCACTTCCTCCTTAGCTTTTTTCAGCGTATTAATTTGTTGCCTTAATAGCGTGCTCATTGTGTGCTTATTTGCTCTGTAGATACTTCCGTACGAGATCAATAAGTAGGGACCACCTTCTAAAATATCCTCACTCGACGGGAAATTAGCGCTTAATGTATTACAGATCAGCTGGTTTTCGAGGACGGATTTGTTCTAGAGCACTCTCGATATTTGTGATATAACTTCCTTTGCCAGACCGGCTCTGGATATGGAGCGAGTTTTTGTGGAGGCTAATTTGAGAGCGCTTTTAGCTACTGGTGAGTACCATGTTAACGATGGAGTAAATTTAAATTAGATACTAAATAGACAGACATTGAATAGATTGAATGAATAGATTTGAATAGTTAGTTTGAATAGTTAATAGTTTGAATAGATTTCATGTGGAGGGATCAGCTCAAGTCAGATCAGCCCATTTACAAATTTCCTCGCACAGGATTTTCCTCGCTGTACGTTAAGTCCTGTGTTATTAGTAAAGAATAGTTTCCAAACTTTACTGAGTTTTCGGTTAAAGAGTGCTCGGTCAAGGTAAATGGTCGTTTACTCATTATACTGATGGTCGAGATTGTGACTAAATGGTGGTAAGAGAGTGCTCAAATTTTTCATGGTCAAGATTGGGTAAATGATAAAGTTTTATTCGAGAGTAATTCTTTAATTTTGATGGGTAAGATTCGGGGTAAATGATCGGCAACCTGTTAAGCTGTTTATGCAAATTGTGATGATACACCCCTTTTGCTATTTGCTAATAGGCAAATCTAAAATCATGGCTTCCTGAAGATTACCTTCACTGGAATTTACCTTCACCCCATTTCAAATTTGGATGGAATCAAGCAGTTTAAACTAGACATCAATTGCAATACATTGTATGTTCGGTACTACATTGCATGGTCGGTCAGATGTATCAGATACCTAACCCTACTTATTATCAATGTCAGCCATTATACACTGTCACTCTAAAATCTATTCATTAATAGGCGGGTTTTTCCATGCTATGTTCTTAATAAACATAAAAAATCAAAAGATTAGAGAAGAACGTGTTGTTTAAATAGAAAAAAATTGAGTTCAACATAGCACTGGGTAAAAGAAAGCAAATTTATCATTCGACATGTTCAAATTTAATAATTATCGAAAAATCAAGAAAATGTGGGAGAAAATGGCCAGCACCTCTCACCTAGACATATGCTAACGCCAGACGCAGAAGCGATCAGCAGCGGCTTCCTCCCGACTGAGTCGATTATAAAATTAACGATGAAGCAGGAGACGGTGGAGAACACGATGAATAACGTCGCGCTAAGCTGGTCTGGCAACGCTCCTCTGGCCGCCTGCAGCATAACCGTTAATAGTTCCACAGTCACGCTACATGCTTGCCAGTGATAATGATAATTATCAGTGTTCCAGTGATAATTCGACAAAAAGTCACAAGATTGGTTGGACTCATTTCACACGCGCTCGAACACGTAGTTCCATCATCAAATTTTCCCTGAAATTTATACACTTTGCCAACGCAGACCAACTCGTAAATTCACATCTCTAGATGAAGTTTCAATCGTTAAATAATGTTCAGTATTCTCAAAAAGCAAGTTTGTCCAAGAAATTTTCATTTTATGTCAGAAGACATTTGGGAATAATCGTTCTAGGTTAAAAAAGGTGTTGACAAGAAATTATCACTCAACACTCACGATGGAATAGCTGCAGCGCTCTAACCTTAAGAATAAGGCTGCTGTGGGACTCGATGCCATTTACACCTGAAGACGCTCGTGCGAGGTAGGCCAACCCGACAATGAGCAGAGGCTTGTACACAGTTGCCTGTGTGATGAGTGACCACGACCATTCTTGTGTAGCGTTCGAGTGGACTAACTGCTGCAGCTTCCCAAACTCTTCTTCTATGTTAACATTGCGGCCTTGAAAGGAGAAGCGGCGGCAAATTTCGAGTAATATATTCGTGTGGGAAGATTATTTGCAGGCTTGGCAGCTCACAAGAAAGAAAAAATCCCTATTTTTGCGATTCATTTAGTTATTGTACAATATTGCTTCGCAATCTACGAAGCGCTGCTTTTACCTGGTTGGTTTTATCTTACATGGGATTTTTTGTAGCGCTGTATTAGCCTGGTCGGTTTTATCTCAAATTTAAATTTGTGTAGCGCTGCATTTGCCTGGTCGGGTTTATCTAAATGGGAATTTCTGTAGCGCCAAATTTACTGATCGGTGTTACTTACCTCTGAATGTTTGAAGCGCTGCTTTTGCCTGGTTGGTTCTATTTCTGAGTAAAAGGAAAGTCGGGGACTCGGGAAAGTAGGAAAGCAGCAGCGTGCACGCAACAGGAGGTCCCAGGCACGTCAAAGCGAGTTGCTGCCACGGCAGGCACATTCCCAGGACGTACGAGTACACCACTCCCAGCGCATATGATATTTGGAAGCTTGATCCTGCGTTGATTGACAAATATGAGGTAATGATACGAAAGCTTAAAAAATTATAGAAATTATGTTTTAATTAAAGAAAACATGCTTATATCTGTGTTTTATGTCAAGTTAATCTGATCTGACGTATTACCCTGCGGTTTATTCAAAATAAAATGTGCGTATATGACTTAGCAATGAATATCTGACTTTGATATAATGCAAATGTAACTCGACGTGTCTTGTTTACAAGTGTCCAGTTTATTCATGGAACCGAGGAAAATATTGTTTTATCTGCATATGAATTAAAAATAGTGAGCTGCAATTGAAATGCATTTTCTGGACGGAATTTTATGATGCCGGTGTAACATGTGTAACATAGCCGTAAAACTGCTCGAAAAAATTTATTGGGTGTTTCCCGTTGTTGTTATCTTTCAGCATTCATTTAAAATATGAACTCCTGTCGAAATTGTTTAATAAAACCTGAAAACAGAATACAATCGATTTAATATTACGAAACTTTTACTACTTTACTTGAGAATAAAAGTTGAATTCTTAAATTTGCAATTAGCCTACATATATAGACTGAATAAGTTATGGCTTTGCTAGAAAAGTTAAAAACAGGTATCATAGGCAGGGACCAACTGTGTCTTATTTTGATGAGATATGAGCATGGAGCAAGCTTCAGCATTCATAAAAGTTGAAATTAATCATTAATACTATATTCTGCAGGTTAGACGAAACAGCACCTGGGGCCTTCAAATCATTTTGATGATGCCTGGAAACATGATGGCTTCAATATAGAATGCTCAATGTTGTTATATTTAAATCATTTGAAAAGACACATCGACTAAAACCATTTATGGTATGGTAAAATAATTTCAAGGCGTCTTTATGGCATTTCAATAATCTGTTCAGAACATTTACATGTTATAACCGTGTACACTATCAAATATATTCTGTTTGTTGTCATTATGAACAAAGCTATCAGTTTATATTGACAAAACTATCCCCATCAACCTAAGTTTCCTCGGATGTCCGGTGATGCGGTCTCGCCGATGTAGGTGTTGATGAAGACGTTGTACCAGCTCATGCATATCCCGGTTAATTAGGAGGCGCCCGACGAGCAGCGTAGCAAAGTTGTGACTGAATGCTGCGCATGGACAGTCCACCAGTGAGATTCACATAATTGTTTTAGAAAAGCTCCCGATCCATATTTCACACCGAAAAGTTTTTATTATTTCTGAAAATTATATTATTGTGCCCCACGAATTCCTTACTGTCGCCTACGAATTAGTAACTTGAATATTCATACAAATGTAGAGCATAACCTGAAGGAATTATATTTGTTGAAACATCCCTGTCAGAAGAATGATATGAAATGACAGTAGGATATATAGTGATCAGATCATCACAGTTTGCCTAAACTGCATAAATTACTGGTTACCGATCATTTACCCACAATCTTACCTCGAATCTTAGTCATCAAAATTTGACCACTGTCCCCAGATCGAAACCATACCAAGCGCTCCCAATATTTTTTAGTAACTGTCGCCAGTAAAGTTTTGAACACTATTCGTTATTCTTAATACATGGCTTGGCCTAGAGCGAGTGTCACGATGGAAAATACTTCTTTCGAATATATAATTGATTTAAATTTTGAAATACTTTCCAGAACCCGGAACTTTATTAATCAACACAAAGCTGCTATATATTACGTTTTACGTATCAGCGTCAAGTTTCAACCGTGGTCGAGAGCGGACGCTCGTGTTTTTGCGGTCCCAGATTTTTAAATTTTAACTTTTACTGTGCCGTTTTCGGAACTCTTTTTGCATTTTTTTTATGATCCGTGTCAGTGAATGACTGAATTTTCAGTGAAGTCAGTAAAAGAGAGTGCGAATAGAAAAAAAGCCTATAGTAAAAGTGTTTCCATCTGAAATAATACGATTTAGAGTCAGCGACGGTAGCCAAGCGAGGGCAACGAGCACTGCCCCGCCAGAGTAGAACAATAGAGCCCTTGTTTTATAGCCAAGCTCACCTCCTCTACCCTGAACACCTCTTCAGCCGTTGACTGAAAGCCACTTACTCTCAAGTCTGTAATCGAGTTTTTACAGCGCTTTGGAAACTTTACAATTTTTACTCAACTTGATTCAGTTTTAACTTGTGTTTTTCTCCAGTCTGTTAAACCGAATTCGAAGATTAAATTGCAAAATGAGCGAGGAGAAATTTGTAAATTTTGCAAGCTGGGATCGCTTAACGTCAATGACGCTACATGCAGTGGCCTGTGATCGTTGCGGGGATACCATCTGCAACAATTGTGCAAAGTTAAGCAAGATTGACTGTTCGGTTATTCGTAAAAAGAAGTCAGTACACTGGTACTGCCAGGACTGTCAACAACCTGCACTTTGCGCTGTAATAAAATGTATAAAAAAATTTTAAAGACCACGTTTTTCATGTGGACTAAAAAGTAGAAAATAATTTTTCGGCAGCTACTGATCTCTATTTGCTTTCATTCTCTTGGTCTTTTGGACGACACCAGGACACTAATGACCATAACGGACAGGACGGACTGCGAGAGGTTGCAAGAAGACCTCTCTGCATTATATGACTGGGCCGAAGTGAACAACATGCAGTTCAACGGGACCAAGTTTGAGGTTCTGAGATACAGAGGTAGCGGAAGATCTGGTATGGGGCACCGCTACCTTGTGCCTGAAAACTCGGAAATCGAAGAGAAACAACTTGTTCGTGATCTAGGAGTGTTGATGAATACTCAGTTCAATTTTGGTGATCACGTAACGGCAATAACCGCAAGAGGTTGGCGTCAGATGGGGTGGATCTAGCGGACGTTCAGAACAAGAGAAGCATGACCGATGATCACACTCTTTAGAGCCCTTGTAATACCAATTCTCGAATACTGCTGCCAGCTCTGGACCCCATTCACACTCGGCGCAGTGCGGCAACTGGAAGGTGTCCAGCGAACCTTCACTTCCAGTATCAGAGGGATGGAAGAGTTGAACTACTGGGAGAGGTTGAGGCGCCTGGGTCTGTACTCACTGCAGAGGAGACGGGAGAGGTATGTCATTCTGTACACATGGAAAATGATAACCGGAATGGTGCCAAACTTCGAGAGCGAGACCTTCAGGATTGAGACATATCACAATGAGAGAAGGGGGAGACTGTGCAAGATCCCCCATTACGTAACCGATCCGCAGAAAGATTTCAATGCCTGCGGGAAGGATCACTTTCCGTGGCAGGGCCGAGGCTGTTCAACGTCCTACCAAAGGATCTAAGAGTGGGGGAGTTCACCCTGGAGACCTTCAAGAGACAACTGGACGTTTTCCTGGGCACAATCCCAGATCGACCTCCCCTGCAACACTACCAGCGGCGAGAAGCAAGCAACAGCATCGTACATCAGGTGGCCCAAATTAGGGCGGATGAACGATAATCAGAGGCGGCGATCCGTCGTGGCCTGGGACTGCTATGTCCCAAACAAGTACCAAGATTACCAAGATCGTTCGATGCAGATTATTCGACTCAACAAATTATCGGATGCAGAAACTTCAAAGATCTTCACCGAATCGGCATAGAATGCTCCTCTTTAATCGGTGGTGCGCCCCGTGACCTTGCCCCCTACAGTCCCCATCCAAATTGGGTTTTGCCTTCGTCGATCGAGCAGGAATCGGCATCAGTATTCTTGATCGAACCACATCAATCTCCGTCGATCGATCAATACCTGATTGACTGGGAATCTGGGCAAGTTCTCAACGGCTCTTTCAATGAGACGCATACCTACTCCTTCTGTGATCCTGGAGTCTTTTATATATTACTCATAATAACTGAACTAATATAACCGCCTCATCCCAAGGAGATTTTTTATCTGATTACAGATTACTTACCATGCATTAATACCAGATATTAAACTTGAATCTAATATTATATTTACTATATGAATATAGCATTACTATTCATATTTGAAATTATTCGGAACGAGTTCGCAATTTCAGGTTCGCTATAAATTCAAAATTAAAAAAAAATGTCAATATGCACACAAAATGAACTGAGTTCACGGTTCCACACCTGCAAATTCGGAGCACTGCGCCACCACACGGCTGATCTCGACGATGGATTGACGGTGACTGAACGTCGCTCCATAAAGAGTTACTCATGGTTCTAAATAGTCTCGTGGGAGGCTACAAATGGCTCGTGCGAAAAGCGGCGATGGCTCTGGAACAACATACGAATGGAACTGATGATGTACACACTAACAGTGTATTGTATCAGCTTACCAGATTCAGGATTATACTGTAAGTAAGAATGATAAATTCCAAAGAAGCATATTCCATCGTGACACTTGCCTTCGGTTAAGTCCTGGGATATAAATAACGAATGGTGTAGGGATCTTGGCAGAATAATCGGGAATAACAAATGGTGTAGGGATCTTGACAGAATAATCGGGAGACCACTAAATAAGAAAAGATCAGAGTAACCGACGTGTCGAATTTAGAATTAAGAGAGCGTGATGACGATCCCGTAGCAGCGTTCAATTAAATTCTATGCGGAATCGCCTTTGACTTACGTGCAAGGATTTGTGTGTGTAAATCATCAACTGCAGAGGTACGGATAATGTTCTAGAGTCGTGTTTATATTCTACTGTTATCTGTTAATACGGTATATGCGTTTTCGTGTTTTCAAAAGTTTTTTGATTATTGTTTATTGATATGTAATGCTTCTTTTCATTTGATTTAGGCGTGAAATAATTTATTTAATTGAATTTATATTTGACTTCGTTCTTCGTAGGGAGTCACCGTAGGGCGTAGATCAAGCCGTTGGCTAAGCCTTGCCACTACTGTGCTCGAATTTACTTTCATCTAATATTCATATGTTTGTGCAACTCTGTCAGCATTAATTAATATAAATGTTTCTGAAAGCCAATTTTACTTGAACCTCGGCATGCAAGATCTTTAGAAATTGTATCTAAAAATTTACGTACGGTAGTGACTAAAAAATATTGGGAGCGTTCGATAAAGTTTCGATCGGGGAACAGTGGTCAAATTTTGATGGCTAATATTTGATGTAAGATTTTAGGTAAATGATCGGTAACCTGTGATTTAAGCCGTATATGCTAACTGTGATGAACCGCTCACTATCTATAATTCTAGTGTCCAAAAATTTAACTGAGTGGTACATGCTAATGTTCATCAATGAGACTTAACAAGTAATAATTACCAACTATGAGCCAACCAAGTGCGGTGGGCAGCAGAGTGAGCATGATGCTTCCTCGGCGCCCGACGTAGGTCAGCAAAGGCCACGAGATCACCGCACCAAGAATTGCCCCTACAAAGGGCATGGGGCACAGCCACTTGACTAGAATCGAGTTGGTAGCTCGTGCATTCCATTGCATGCTTTCGTCTTCCAAACTTCCATTTCGTCCAATTCTATAAGTCCCTAAACTTGAAGCGATGCCAGTGGATTTGCCCACTTCCAACTCGTCACTGTACAATAAATCTTCCACTTGATAAGAAAAGACAATAGCATCATTTAAAGTCGCTCCCCTTAGTTCGCTTTCAAAGGTTGAGGTCTCGTCGTATACATGAATTATTTGATAGATTGTGGGCGATGAAAATCCGAACGACGCCCCAGCAGCCAGCCCTCCGAGGCAAGCTGGTGCGTGTCAGGAAGAAAAAATTCACTATAAAGACGTTATTGTAAGAGCTTTAGTCTAAAAAAGCTCTCATAAAAGATTGCTCTACAAATTGCACTTCTAAGAATGATTGCGTTGCGGTGACCTAAAACATCATTTCAAGGTATAGAAGTTTTATCTATGGTTTTATGTCGTTATGATTAAGACCATAATAAAAGTACGTCCCAACGGCATTGGTGATTTTTTAGAAAAGTAAGTTTTTAGAATGCACCTGATAATGCTGAGGTTACATGGATTCACACAGCTACGCGAAAGGAAAGAACAAAGATCACAATTTATAATATATTGCGATTTTCTGAATAGACGCAGTATTATTGTGTTCAACCACTGAAGATCAAAAATTCACTGAAGAAAACGTCTTAGAATACTCGCCTGTGAGAGTTGCCAACCACTGCATGCGATGTCCATTCTTTTCGGCCATTTTGTAAGTCATGATACCTCATGCACTTATTGATATCTCCGTTTGAGAGCTAAAATGTAAAAAAATTTAAATCGCAATATTTAAAAGAAAAATTAAAGTAAACACTAGTTTTTTTTACTTTACATTTAGTTTTTTACTGAGCTGAGCTTCTCTTCTTATTAATCGCGTTTCCAAACTCCAGGGACGGTCACACGAGTGCGACTAAAACCAGATTTATAGATTCTTCATATGCAGTACCGGTCAGAACGTCGGATTAGTCTAAGTGGTTCATTTACTACACTAACTCTACTTCCACAATGATTATAAGTCTTTGTTAACGTAACTCCTTGATCTTTTTACAATGTTGTTTTTCACGCAACTCCTGCGTTTTTTCATGACACCTCATTTCATAACACTACGTAACAATGGGTAGATAATAGACTGGGGGGGGAATAAATAATAGAATGGGTAATAAAGAAACAAATGATTCAGGGTAGATGATAAATATCTGTTAACCGTTGACAGCCGCACATAAGAGGTAGTTAATAATCAAGTAAACAATCACTCACTTAACGTTCCACTAAGCTTCTTCCTAGTTGGGTGGCAAAGCCTCAACGTTCAAGGTCTTACACAAAAATTTTTAGAGTAGCTGCAAACTCTGTTGGTAATTCTCCTAAGGTAAAACCGTCCTGTCAGCACGACTTGATTGAACCTGCAGTGACTAGACGCATCAGTACTTCTCTTAATTTACAATAATTTTCACTTAGTACTCATTGAATTGTCCGACGGAGACGGAAACCTATAAAAATTCGCATCCGTAAAGACTGCGCTAAAAATTCATTAAAAACATTAGAGTTCCCACTATCAGATATAAATGCATTCTGATCTACTTTCAAATCAGAAATATCGTCGTATGTCTTATAAATAGATGAGCGAATAGGGCTCTTTGATTTTTTTCCAGTTTTGGAAACAACTTTTTCAACCTCATTCACTGCTGAACTACAGCTGCTAGTTTTAGTTGATTTCTCGCTCTTGTCTATAGGTTATTAAACCTGACAATATATGCACCACGAGAAGGGTCCTCACTGTCCCGACAGAGCCGGTGAAGCAACTTAGCCCTATGGAGAACATTCTGCACTGCTCAACTGATGCACTTTAATAAGCATCACGGAACTGATGCATATTAAACTATTCACAGATGTGCATAAGTTTGAACAGCTTTCGCTGGCTCAGTTTAGCACACTAATCAGATAAGTCCACCATCGAGTCCGGTTATTAACTCTGCAATTAGTTTGTACTTAAAAACCGAACACGAAAATAAATGAACTACACTACCGGACATTGTAAATAACACCACCCTCGTTAGATTAGGGTTAGAGCTAGGGTTAGGTGTGTAGAAAACCCTTCTTTACGATGCTTGACACATTTCTACTAAGGTTAGGTCCATCCAGGTTAAGTTCTTTTTACCTTTTTATCGTTACTATATATATATATATATATATGTCCATCGGTAACCTGATTTTCGATTTGCCAGTTCAAACTAAAAATATTGTTCGATATATTGAAAAAACTAATAAGAAAATTGCGAATAAAACAAATTCTCTGGTCTTCAATGAAACCTGCTTGAAAGAAGAAATTCTGCCAACCTATACTAATATATATATATATATATATATAGTAACAAAATATAATTTTCAAGATTATTTATTCTGTCAATTGATTCATGCGTTGTCTCCAACTTTACGCAAGTGTACAAAATTTCAGATCGATTGAAGAGATAGAAGTGTGTTAAATATTGATTATGAGATTTGAAGCAGACAAACAAACAACAAGAAGTGAAGTAAAAGAGAAGTGTTGTGATAAAAAGTAATAATTAAACGCATATTATTAATGAAGAAATAACTGTGTACACCTTAAAAAGCGCAAGCAAAACATACTGTTGTAATATAGTCCTGATTTCTATATGAATAAAGTTCATAATAAGATGACTATCTGATGTTACATGGTCTGGCTTCACTACCTATACCGTATCAGTCTCAATGTACCCGTCGAGCTGACGCGTTCTAACTACCGCCGTAATGTAATGTAAGTTTTCTACCACGTGCATGCTGACTTTAAATCTGCCTTTTAATTGTTTGTTGTTGTTGTTATATTTGTTATGTTGATTAGTATTTAATGTCGGTTACTCTCTTTTCAGGTAACCGGACATTTGTTTGAGTAAAGCTTGAATTGCCAAGTATTACTTATTTCACAACACATACTAACAATCTTGCAGAAATATACAACAGATGTTACGGTTACTTACTCATTCGATTCGTAGACCATAGCATAAAAGACCATCACTAAAAAATACGATAGGTTTTATTGCGTGCCTAATTTGCTACTAATGGCTTTGGCAGGGGTTTACTAAGGGTTTATGCAATGGGGTTGCAATGGGTTTACTACTAATGAGCCTGCAGAATCGATGGCAATCGTCACCCGATGAATGTGTTCGAAAATTGGTTGCAATTTAGGGCAAGGCACTGCGCACTGCATAGTTCCATTTACTACAGGTCACTGCAGATTGCTTTTGTGGTAAGAGTTACATTCATGCATGATTTTTTTTTTGTAGCATCAAGCACAATTTCCACAATAGTAAAAAAACGGAGCATCCTGCCAAAGTACGAGTGTAAGCTACAACAAAGTACGTGTTAATTTAAATTCAAATTTAGAAAATAACCCATTTACAGTCATTTGATACGTATCACTTCCTTTATAGTTCTTCAATGAACACAAAGCATGCTAAATACCTAAAAGTTTTCAGAGCAGTGACAACAAACAAATTTTTAGTTATTGTAATAGAGGACAAATTCTTTCGTGCAGTAGCCATCGTGTAATTTGGGGACGAAAATTGATTGGATTGTTGTCAGTCAGCTTGGAGAAACAGCACAAAAGGTCACGGGCGTGAATATTCAATTACAATTACCGGAAATTCTGTGCAGATTTGTCAAGCTGGAAGAATGCTCAGATATTATACTGATAGCCGCTACTCCAGCTGCGATTGTTAATTTTGCCCTGGCTCACATGCATGATCGTCTGGACCCGCAAAATGTAAATGTAGACATTTTCAAATGCAAATTTAAACGTTGGATGAATTTATTTGTGCATACGATAACTACTAAGGCGTTATAGTTTGCAATCAGCCATAGTTAATTCGCGCGCACAGTTCATTGATGGCAGGGCTCTCCGAAAATGAACATTCAACTATGTTCTCTCACTATTTATTCTCACTCGGTATTCTAATTCAATATAACTATAAAAATGTAAAACTAAGCTACGGCATAAGTATCAAAAAGCCTCAAATTATTTTACGGTCAATCGGTCAGGTACACGTGCCAATCTGTTATTCATTGAAGAATGATTGGAGCTGCCACTATAAACCCTATAGAAAAAGGTCGAGAAAAGCTCGAGGCTGACGTTAGTCTTGGCACAGGTTTGTTGCCATTCCAGCGAGTTGCATCTTTGCTCCATAGTTCGTTAACCTCCTCAGTTTCAAAGGCTTTTATGCACAGTGAATGAAATTTTCATACTATTCCTATAGACTATTAACCGACCGGTTGATTTAAAAAAGCGCTTCTTTACGGTCAAGTACATATTACTTTTCGGTTGAAATATTCGGGGCTTCTTGTATTTGACTCTATAGGTATAGATTCATGTTTATTTCTAAAATTCACTTGGATCATTGGACTTCGTCAGCATGAGTATATACATGTCATTTGCCATTCGTGGTGTCACTCACACACCTGCATCATATATTAAACACAACACTCATATTAATACAATTTTTATTTTTCCTCAGGATTACCCCCGTAGATTCAGAGGATATCTTTAAACAATGAAAATATTTTGGTAGTTCTCTACAATGTTGTCACTTACCCACGCGGTTGCGTGGCTTGTGGCTGTCTGGTTAACGAGTAGCTCAGGAACATCGAATAAAGCCGTCTTCAAACGTGTCTACCAAACCTGTGGGAACATCATCAACAACTCCACTGCTGACAGTCTGGTGAGTTCGGATTGGCTGCCTTCTTAACGATTATAACGATTTATTGTTTTATTTATTGCAGGAAGTGGTTGGGTATAGTCATTCACGTGGTATGAATAGATATCCAGTATCATAGTATACTACTATGGAAATAAAGTAGAGAGAATCTACAGGCTTAATTTTATAGAGGTACGAAGTTACAAACTTGAGATGCGATCTTTCGGGTAAGGGGCGATACAAATGGTGGGTAAAAAACACCGGTAAACAAATTAAGAGCGATCATTTCATCGCTCAAATGATCATTTCATCATTTTCGTCAATTAAATTTTGTATTCCTTCTTCAGATCCTTTGCTCCTTGAGGTGCGGAGCCGCCAACCTAGACTGCTTTGGATTCTGCTTCTCGGCGTCGAACGCGTCGTGCGTGTTGCATAGTAAGCGTCTAATGTCATAGTTTATTTTTGATATTCCTGTTACAGACTTATTCTTCCGTTT